AGTGCTAGTTCTAGGATATAGACTTGTTTGATTGTTAGGTGTATTGTAGCACCGGTTTTGTGGCAGTTAGATGTGGGTTATCTAACTTCGTGAGACAGGTGAGTCTTCTCACTATACTGTGTAGGATGCTAGTTGTCTTTGTGATGTTTGCATTAAAGCCACCAGGGGTAGCCCGTGTCATTTGTATGAAAGAGCATAGGGGTAGAGCATTACACTTTTATATAAGACCATGGAGTAGCCAAGGAAATGCAAGAAAATACCATGGGGGTAGCCTATGACAATGGTATGAAAGACCATGAGAGTAGCACATGACACTTGTATGGAAGACCATGGGGGTAGCCCATGACAATGTATGTATGGTATGTGGTATTTTGGGAACTCACTAAGCTTTGTGCTTACGGTTTGTGGTTGAACATTTTCATGTTCTTCCAATTCCAAAGGGAAGGGCCCGACTTGACTCTTCATCATTTCCCTAAGATGATTTTCCACATTGATGATTGTTATTTTACTCTGATGATTATGATACATTTTTACTATGATGGATTTTTGGGACAAATACTATATGATTTGATTGGTTTAAAATGAAAAATTTTATTCATATTTTTGGTATGTTACAATGGTGAATTAGCATTACCACGTCGTGGTAAGCCAAACACCATGCGAGGGGGGGGGGGGGGTGTAAAACACAAAACCCAACTTTTGAACTTAAACATACCAAGTATAAACTCATACCTAGAGTGAGTGTTACATCTTTTTCATTTATTTTTGACATTTCTGATTATTATTAATTATTAAAAAATATATTATTTACAAGACAATTTCTCTCTCTTTCTCTTTTGTTTAAGAACAATAACCACCACCAACACCAAAAAATTTGCACCACACTGGAAAATGGAGCACCACCTAAAATGTCATAGCCACCACCAGAAACCCCTATTCCTTGTCTTATTTCTCAAGTTTGACAACCACTAGGCACTACCTTTCACCTTTAACAACCCCCACCACACCAAATCAAATGATACCATCCAAAAATAAAATGAATATGAAATCAAAATCCCAAAAATAAAAGCCAAAACTCAAGCTACATGTAAAAACCCAAGTAAAAAAAGGAAATCATAACACTAAATTTTAAGCTACACACCAAAAAATATACCCAGATGCAAGATTGGAAAATTCAAAACCCTAATGCTTTTCTGTTTGAGAGTTTAGTAAAATAAGAACTAGTTTTGTAAACCCTGAACCCTAACGTGAACCCTGATCTTCTTAGAGCTTGTAGGTATGGTGGTGGCGGTTCCGAGTTGTAGAGAAAGAAGCTTAAAAGTTTTATTTTTGTTTCATGGGTGTATTTTGTTGGATTAAGCGTCTAAGCCCATAACTATAATTGATATATATTTGAGTTGATCGTAACACAGTCTTTCTGGGTTGCCCTCAAACCTAGCAATTGGATATGATAATTTTTGGAGAGAGAGGTTGATCAAATTCTTGATTAATAAATTGAAATAAATAATTTATTAATATGTTATGAGAATAATATATTAAATATAAATACTAATATTTAATTAATAATTAATCATAAATTAACTTAAACTAATTTCAGGATAAATAGAATTAATTAAAAGTGCAAGGTCTAAAGTACAATTATTCAACAGTTGAACAAAAGGCTCCAGAACCTTCCACCAGGAGGGTGAACGGTTTCTAGAGACTTTTAGGGTTTCAAGAATTATCCATGTGGATAATTAGAAAGCTGAATAATTACCAAATTATATATATATATATATTAATTACCAAAAAAAAGTTTCTCACACATTTACTATTCATTTCAATTTTGATTCTTGGCCATTGATAGCTATCCAGGCATTCATTTATGGATGGATACCCAGATACTCGCTGGCTGCTTAATTCTCTTTCTACTCACATTTTTTCTTTTAAATGTGAATTCCAAATCATAATAAAAATGTAAAGCCGTCAATACAATCTATAAAAAATCTCTGGAGATAGCAATTTTAGTTTTGCTCATAGTAAGTTTTATATATTTATATGCTTTCCCTCAAATAATCTCTTATAATTTTAATGTTAAACTAGAAAGGTTACCCTCGCTACGCGGGGGCCAGAAGCTTTCGATGTTGTTTCCGGGCTGACAAATATGAATACAATCTGCACATATGAATACAATCTGCACATACGACCCTGGCTTCCACATATTCTAAATTTTTTTGATATTGAAGGTTTTCATTGATTTTGTTTTATGGCGACAATTTTTTAGAGTTTTGTGTTATTTTATCTCTTCTGGAGAAAATGATTCCTATTGGACTGCAATTGAAAGTATTTTATATCTTTTTTAACTGTTTACGTTTATATTGTTTTGGGTTTTCAACAGATGACCTTCCTGTCAATGATCCCAAATATTTACACCCCAAATATTTACACAACCGTCCTCTACTAAACTCCTTAACGCAGAAAGCTTCTCCAGACAACACTACCAACATACAAAGAGTTGTAAATACAAAACACCAAAACTCATAAATTAAAAAGAATGTGCGAAAAAGTATATACACACGAAACCAAAAAAAATATTGGATACCTGAACACAAAGAACAGGAGCTTTGTGTTATTCAAAGTTATTCAAATTTATGAACAGGAGACTCAATTCCATTAGAAACTAAAATCCTCTAGTGAAGCATACAAACAGAATGGTCAGTTGACCTACAAAATACATAACAAAAAGATTATCTACAATAAATGGCTGCGGTTTAAGATTTACGGATATCACTGGTAACTTTTACTATATATATATTTTTCATGCATAAATGCTATATTCGACTTGTACACAGCCTTACTAAGCAATGATATTTGGTGACTAAAATGCCCTCTAATGTCAATTCCTTTGCATCCTCAAGGAACCCATGTTTATAGAAGGCTAAAATCATAATGATGTAAAAATACCCGTTTAGGGATAATTTCAAATTAGAGGTAAAAACCTCTGAAGTCAAACTAATGGAAACTTTTTTTTAGAGTAAGTAGAAGAAATGTTGCAGGAATACCCATCCAAGGATAATTTCATAATGAAATAATTAGATTAAAATCTTCAGAAGTCAACTCAATGGAAACTTATTTAAAAAAAAAAAAGTAAGTAGAAATGATCACAACTTAACCTGAGGAGGTGGGTGACAGTTTCCATCTGAACTAAGTGAAGTTGCATATTTATTTAAAGGATCCCATGCTACACCTTGAACATAATGGAAATGAGCATCTAGAATCTACTGCAAAGATCCTGAAGAAAAAACAAAAGAAAAAACAAAAACACAAACTTAATCAAATAAGCATATAAGAAATGTGCCATCAGTTGACCACTCCAAATCCAACACATCCGTTTTCATGAAACCTGTCTAATTTCTTTCATTAGTAGGGTGACTAATTGAAGTCCTAAATATGGATTCTTCGTGAATGGATCTTATTAATTGTTAATACTCCGTATTATATATGTGTGTGAAAATGGAAAGCCTACTTAATGCATTTTTGTATCAACCAATCTAAATTGTGTTTTTAAGTTTTTTTCTGTATTTTGTCCTTTTACAAAACCTGAAATAATGGTTTTTTAATTGGTCAAAAGAACTCAAACTAAACCGTGGCTAAATCAATAAAAAATAACACATTTTTGCAATTTAAAATAACTTGAGCTTTTATATGAGTATACAGTATACTGACCTCAATTAGCTCATCAGAAGCCACATAGCCTATAGCCTCTTCAAGTGTCATCTGCATATAAATTAAAGCCACATACATCTTTTATATCCACAAAACTTATAAAAGAGAAGAAGAGAGATTCAAGATTTTAAAAAATTCAGTGATTGAGAGACATACTCTGTGAGGAGGTGACAATTTGACATTCTCGTCCTTTCCAGCTGATCTGTAAGTTCCTTGTTTCTTATAGGATTAACCTGTGAAAAGATAATAATTAAATTACTGAAAAGTAATGTGAAACTGAAATGTTATATTATTAATCAAGAATAACATATATCCCTACATCAAGATCCATATCTCGTGAATGTTCACCAACGATCATGTCATCATATGCCTACATCATATCATATTCATTCACAAACAAAATTAATAAACATTAGTTTTGCTTACTAATTTAATGCTAATAATTAGAAACAGTGTTACTTAGTAATTGGTAATTACCTTAACCCCACTCACATAAAGTGTTACATGTGGCTCCAATGGTAACAGGAAATTATGTTTACCAGAAGAAGAGAACCGGGCAACAAACTTACAAATTGTGTCATTTCTGCGGTGTTGAGCTTAGTATCTCCTGAATCTTTCTCATCCTTCCGATAAAAGCAATTCAGTTGTTTTCACGACATCTAACCAATAAAGGTTTATAGCAGGTCAATAGCGGAAAGTTAAAAGTGTATGAAAGCTGACCTCTTAGACATCTTTATCAAAACCACCAAACCAAACCACTCATCTTCAAATTAGTGGAAACCCATTTGGAATGAAAACCAAATCGAATAGGTAGAATACAAAATACACTAAAAAGGTAGTAAGGTATCAGTATGGAAATTAAATTTGAAAACGTGTGTGGTAGCAACATAACACAAACATACTTGACAGAAATGGAACGGAACACCTTGAAAGCCGTGTGGTAACAAACCAAAGCCCTGAACCACCAGTGGTACATATTCTCTTATTGAAAATCCAATTCAGTTCGTTTTGTGTAAAAACTTCCACTTAATGCTATTTTAGGCATATGTTTCAACTGGTTTGCTACGATAACCAAATAACCTAACTGTATGTCAATTTATTATGGTTCTTGTGTTCAATATATCAACAAAATCCCAAGTTATTATGTTGAATATATCACTAAAATCAGCAAAAAGCAAGATATCAGCAAAAAAAAGGAAAAACACGTTCTTGTGATGGAGATGATCGGAGGTGGCGATGAGGAGGGTGGCGGCAAAATCGAGTGTATTCAACAGAAGTCGGCTTCTTCAAACCCCTTATGTCAACCTCTCGTATCCAAGCCTAGCAGAAATTAAAAAGAGATTAGGGAAATGAAACAGAGATTAGGGAAATCAAACATGAAAAAATGGTAATTTAAGAGGTAAACCTGTTAATTGTCGGCCACAGAGAAATCCACTGAAAATAGAGCGTCGGATAGCAGAGATAAGCCTAAAATTAGATATGCATAAACCGGAACCAAAACAAATCTTCAAGCCACCGATTTCATATTGATATAACACATAAGAAATTGAAAGGTTTTGAGTCGTTTTCAAAAATCAACGGGAAATCGAATGAGATGAGGTGTTGGTACCGATTTCAGAAGCACCGTCTTATCGTTTAAGGTGCAATCGATTCCTCCGGAGATGATGATAGGGTGGAGTGTAAGCTGTTCTCCGAATGTAGATAGTGAAGGTTGAGAGCGAGGCAGATAGGTGTTGGTATCGATCAACTCAGTTTTGGTGGCAGCAGGTGCGATCGCGAATTAAGGAAGAATCGGAGGGATCGCGAATTGAGGAAGAATCGGAGGTATGATGGGGTTTTTGAATCGGTAATTCGTCTGCGATGATTGAGGGAGCCAGGAATAGATAAAGAGAATGAAGAAGGGAGAAACGGTGGGAGAAGAAGAAGAAGAAGAAGAAGAAGAGAGAGAGAGAGAGAGAGAGAATAGCCTGTAATAGAGGGAAAGAGACGGTGGAGCAATTAGTGGAAAGAAGCGGTGGAAATGAGATCAACAGAATGACACGTAGCAATGGAGTCGATGACTCACGCACCCAGGCATTGACCACTCACCTTGAATGGCAAAAAAATTAAAAAAACATACCACATTTGTCAACATAGCAAAACTACAGGACCATTTTTGCCAAATCAAAAACATTACGTAAACCCTTTCCATAAAAGAAACCAAAAACCACGGGAGAAAGGCCACTAAAGACAAAGGAAGCTAAGTAGAAGGGGTGGAATAGACAAATCAGATGCATGTTTCCATAATATATACGTATAGAAAAAGCAATCCCAAACTGCAACAAAAAGGTATAGTTAAAGGACCATTTTTGCCATCCCTTAGCTACCCCACCCCATATAATTATTGGTATTTTTAAATTTTAATTTTTATCCTCTACTATATTTCTCTACTATATTTTAAAGTTACATTTTTCATCAATTATATATATTTTTTATAGTTTTCATTTGTGTTAATATTACTTTTTGTTATATAATTTCTTAATTTTTTTAATCAATTGTCATTTGTTGTATTATACCAAAGACAAAACTGCAAAATTAGTCCATGTGGTATTCAAAAAACTTTGGATATGGCCCAAAAAGTTTTCAACTTGCATGGATGATCCAAAATCAAGATTTTTATGGTCAAAAAAGCTTGAAAAGACGGTTTTGCCCTTCTTATTTCTTTTTTTGTATTTTTTATATTTTCTTTAATCATTTATTAATTAAAAATTAAAAAAAGGAATTAGCTACCCCACCCCATCCCTCCACTCGTACCCTCCCATTCTCTCTCCATCTCTCTTTGACTTTCTCTCCTTTCTCCTTCCTCACCCTACACCTGCAAATTCAACCTCCCACACACATTCACACAAACACTTAGGTTTTAATCCTTCTTCATCACGATGGAAGTTACTAAAATCTTTCTTTCTTTCTTTTTCTTTTTCGATTTTAACACAAATTTTGAGATCTTCACCACGATTCTTTAATGGCTTATTCTCCCCCAAAACATTGCAAGACTCACAACCATCACCCACTTTGATTCTCAACGCCAACAACCCATTTGAAAACAACAAAAATCAAAGCAAATCCTTTCCCTCTAAGGTTTTTGTAGATTAATATCCATTGGCGCGTAGATGAAAACCCATACACCTTTCTCATGAAGAATATGATGATGACGATGAAAAGCTTCATGTTAACTGTAATGGCGACTTCAATAAGATTTACAACATTAGCGATCTTCCCATGTTTTGCAGCCAACATCAACGGAGTCTGATACCATTTGATCAAAGTGCACAAAATCATTTATGTTCTTAAGGAAGTAATGAAGTTTTAAAGAGCTCCAGAATTCACATTTGTTATTCAAAAAAAAGGATTTGAAAAATTATAGAAACTTCAAATCATTCAATGAGAATGAGAGCAAATAACGCACATGTTTATGACCATACAAAGAATTAGGATTGACTGATCGATTCTCCAAAAGCATAGAAATAATCAAAACCCAGATAAAATATGAATCAAAGATACAAAATTAAAATTACCCATCAATCGAATCGGTCAAATACAACAATATTTGAGGAAGCACCAACTTCCAAATCGCCAAACTGTACTGCTGTGAACAAGCCATGTTCATCTTGTACTCTGCAGCTAAGCCCCTGCCCCATGGTTTTAAGGTAATCTGAAGTTTTGATGGTTTATGCAGAAGACCAACGGAAGTCCACCAGAATCATCTACTACCACCATGAGAGGGATTGTTCGTTGTGAATAAAGAAAGGGTTAAATGGCAACGTATTTAAGTGTGTGTATGCGTGTGTAATTTAAGTTAAAGGTGGACTGAGAAGAAGAAGATCGGGAGTGGGGGTAGGGGAGGTGAAGGTGGGTTTTTCTTTACTCTGTGTGTGTGAGAGAGAGAGAGAGAGAGTGATGGGGTGGTTGGTGGCTAATTCTTTTAATTTCTTTTTTTTTAATTAAAATAACGTTAAAATAATTATAAAAAGGAAAAAAGAAAATAAAAGGACAAAATCGTACTTTCAAGTTTTTTTGGACCAAAATCACAGAAAAATCTTGATTTTGGACCATCCATGCAAGTTGGAAACTTTTTGGACACTATCCAAAGTTTTTTGAATACCACAGGGACTAATTTTACAGTTTTATCTACCAATTAAGATACACTTTCAAATCTTAGTTTTTTCCGTTTTCTCCGTACATAATTCTTTTGATTGAAACTTTATTTTTATATTTTTATAGTCCACCTCACAAAAGAGCCACTCGCTGCAACGCTCAGGTTGTATATATAATAATTGCCAACTTTGAGTATGTGAGTATAGTTACTATTCATCTGGTTTTTATTTTTTCCAGAACCAAAATTACTATATTTCTATCATATTCTACTTTTTAACACGTTTGGTATAAAAAACAAATAAGATTGTATTTGAAAATGACAATTTTGATTATTCTTATAGAAAAAGTTATATTTTTTTGTCCCTTACATAATTTGTTTTATAGTTCTCATTTTCATTAATATTAATTTTTATTTATTATTTATTTATTAATTGTTATTTGTAGTATTGTACCAAATATGATATACTTTCAATTTTTTTTTGCCTCCTCCATACATAATTGTTAAGATATAAACTTTATTTTTATACTTTTGTGTTCCACTTTACAAAGATCTAACTTGGGACCTCTAATTTTTTAACACCCTCCTTATGTTTCTTATTTCTTGAAGATGATAAAAGATTAACAAACGTTTGAATGTAATTACAGTTGTTTTGTTGCTTGATTTTATATGATCAAAATATGTTGGCTCAAGATCATCACCATAAAACTGCATAATTAACATCATTGTGGTAGGAGCTATGGTTGAGAGTAACTATGTTGAAAGTTGTCTAAAAAATTATCACACAAACTTTATCAATACGAACTGCGTTTTTCAATATACCGGGCTTCCCATAATTTTTTTATTTTTGTCCGCCCCTTCTATACATAATTGTTAAGATAGAAACTTTATTTTTATACTTGTGTGGTCCACTTTGCAAAGAGTTACCTTGGGACTTCTAATTTTTTCAGCACCCTGCTTATGTTCTTATTTCTTGAAGATGATAAAAGATTAACAAATGTTTGAATGTAATTACAGTTGTTTTGTTGCTTAATTTTATATGATTAACATATGTTGGCTCAAGATCATCACCATAAAATTGCATAAATTAGCATCATTGTGGTAGAAAATACATTGTAGTTTGCAATTTTGGGCTATGGTTGAAGGTAACTATGTTGAAAGTTGTCTCAAAATTTCTCCCACAAATTTTATCCATGTCGAGTTGCGTTTTTCAATATATCAGGCTTCCGTAGCATCGCGCGGACGGTCCAAACCCTTGTTTGAATTAATATTATTTAATTCAAATCAGGGTTATCTACGGTTTCCTAGTTGCATTATAAATGAGATCCTAGGCCTTTGATTTTCGGCCATCACTTCCTTCCCAAGGCTTGACCGAAATTCTGCTCTCCCCTCTCCTCTCTCCATAATCTCCTACTTGCTAGCTTGGGTGTGAACCACAAGAGACACGACATTTGTGGTGTTTGCTTCCAAAGGTTCTACAAGTCAAGGATGATTGTTATTTGCTATAATAACAATAAGGTATGTAATCCTAAACTTTTTCTTCTGTTTTTCAAAAACTGCCTAGGGTTTCTAGGGTTCTTATTTTGATGTTCTTAGTTATAAGTTCAATAGTGAAAAAATAGATCTTGTTTTAGGTTGCATGCACACTTAAGAGTTTTAAGTTTGTTTTTGTTATGCCTAAAACCCATCATATTTCACATCAAATGAGGACGAATGGGGTAGTGCTAGCCTTGGCAGCTTCGCACACACAACCTCGATCTCGCACCAAACAGATAGATCTCAAAGACCTAGGAGGCATCAGGTCGGGGATCGGCGGCGACAAAGTGGCTAAAGTGCGGTCGACGATAAGGTAAATCTAGTGGTGAGAGGTCCATGGTCGCCGAAAACTGCTTGAAATAGAAATAGAGGAGATTAAGAAATAGTCGTCGGAGTAGCCTAATGTTTGTTCCTCCTTCTGTAAAGCCAACTTCCAAAAACGTTTTCATATTTTTTTCATTATCTTTAAAGAGAAAGAATAAACCATAAAGAATAATTTTATTCCAATAAAAAATAAAAAAGTAAGAATAAGCAAGAAAAATAAATGAAAAACAAATAAAAAAGAGTAGTATAGTCAGTGGCGGACGTAAACTGTTTTAGTAGGAGTGTCTGTCACACCCCCAAACATTACACATTGAATATCATCACAATGAATATTCATGAAACATAACACATTCATCACCAAACATTACATATTACAGCTGGTATTGTTCACATCAAGTACATTGTCACAGGTTACATAAATTCAAAGTATTAATAGTACGATGAGTGACGTTACACAAAATAAATCCATACACACTTGAAAGTCCTTCTGCTTAACGATTTCCTGAGAATACAAGTTATTTTGAAAACGGTCAACATATATAATGTTGGTGAGTTCATAAGCATGTTTGAATAAAAGTCTTTGTATTGTTTGTAAAACCCAGAAAATCCGATATTTTCTGTAAAAGTCTGAAAAATTATGTGAAAATCGAGTATAAATGCATGTGTGAATTTCATAGTAGTAACATATAGGAATGCAGCTCAAATTTCTTTGTATTCTTTCTATTGTAAGTGGTATTTGAATAATATATTTCCCTAGAAAATCCGATATTTTCTGATTTATATAAATGTCACGGTCTTTGCACTGTAGAAATGTTTTGTATCATTATGACTTACAAGTTATTAATTTTTCCGTAATATCTTAATGGAAATGGATCTCTATATGAGTTGTTATAACCATACATGATAGTGACTGATTTGGCTGTCTTGGCATTTTTCCAAACGCCGGATTTTCGATCAAGGTTTTGTCACCCTAGACTGGCCTAGTCTAACTGTAGCGAACAACTCAGGTGTGGGGGAGTCACCCCCGTATAGATCTATACACAAACTTTCGCTCTCCCTCCAGGAGACTCTGATTATAACTACAAGCTACGGGCATACACTCGGTGGTGTCAACCGACACGTCTCACTAGATCCCATTTGTCTCCACATCAATTTGTATAATGTTATATGTATTTAGAAGTTCGAACACTAGATGATGTATGAAATGAAAAGGTAAGGCCCAACAAACATGAAGGAAAGGCAACTATGGCACATTTAACATGTAAGTTATTTCTAGGCTAAATTAGCATGTAAATGGGCTACTAAGGCCTAATAACATGTAAAAGCTAAATTAGGCCCATTTAGCATGTAATTGGGTCACTGAGGCCCAATAGACATGTGATGAATACATTGGGCCCAATAAACATGTAATTGGATCACAAATGCCCAATAAACATGTATAGCAAATACTAGGCCCAATAATCGCACCATTGTTGTATTTTGTTTAATCGAATTATTTATCTGTAGCGTTATAAAAAGTCCGATGTTTTGTTGTAATGATATTTTTAGTTTGATACGTCAAAATTTTATAATTTGAACCCGTATTTATAAAAATTTACACTTTAGGTCCCTTGAGAACTAATTTGAACATTTAAACGATTATTTTACATAAAATGTCATTTTGGTCTATTTTAAATTAAAAATAACATTTTAGTCCATAAGTTTATAAAATCTACATTTTCGCCCCAAATGTTTAGTGATTGATGGGTTTGGCCCAAAAATACATGTAATGACATTTTCAATCCATTTATGCAGAAAATTACAAATTCAGCCCTTATTTGTATAAAATGACATTTTCGGATT